AAAAAAAAAAAACAAAACCACCAAAAAACAAAAAACAATACAGTTCAGGGGACAGTCATTAATGGAATTACATTATTAAGTCTGCCACAGTCCAGATACTCTGCCAGGTAATTTACTTCCTCTCTCTCCACGGGGAGGTCTGAAAGAGGTATGTGGGAAACCATAGTGGCATTGGCTGGGCTGCCAGGCTGGCTGGTGCACAGGTGGGACCTTAAAGAGAGACTATCTTACAGAAGAGACACGGTTTAATACAGCAGAAGGAATGCAAGTATTGGAGTGAAACTGACCTGCTATTCCAGCTGAGGTGTGCTGCTCACTAGCTGTGTGAGTTTAGGTGTTACATGCTCTCGGAGTCTGTTTCTTCTACTGTGGTTTCATCTTCATTTGCAAAATATGTAAAGCCCTTAGCATGGTGGCTGGCATGGAAAGCGTTCTAAATACATGCTATTCTGTCACAGTTCACAACCGTGGCATGGAGCAAAGGGGGAGAGATTACTCGGAGTCAATGTGCAATTCAAAGTCCAAGAAGGCCCAGAGGGACTGCCCGTCACGAGACCCTGCAGCGTGAGAGAGTCTCATAAAGACAGCCCTGAACTGAAGCTTCTGTGGCTTTTTGTTGATAGTACCAGGAAGCATGGATGAAGGACAAAGGAGGGACGTTGGTGCAGGAATTCATGTAAGGGAAAGGGGAAGGACAGGAGAAGGACAACGTGGTCTATTACATGATTGGCCTTAGAGCCAATCTAAGGGATCGACTGGAGTATAGCGTCGTTCCCTAAGGTAGTGTGTTCTGATCCTGCTTGGATTTATGGCCCTGTAGGCTATTTTAATCGCTAACACGCATTCCAGGAGGTTTTGAGCATGTGGCTCCACAAGTCCTTTACTTCTCCATAGCCGTCTCATACAGACCTTGAGTCAGGGCCCACACAGTTCATCCTTGACTGTACGTGTGGAATTTGTTTCTTTCATGAATAGGTATTTTTACAAAGATGGTGTATGCTTTTGGTAAAAAAATATATGTATGATAAATGTTCTATAACTCTCTGATGCCCACAATTTCCAATTGGCTAGATCCTTTCTATTTTATTGTATTTATTTTTCCTTATATTTTGAAAGTATCACATATAAACAAAAGCATTTTGTGGTGAGTCCACTTTGTATAATGCTAGGCTGAACATGTTAAAACAATGGCTTCAAGAGTAATGCTCTGAGCCGGATGTGGTGGCTCACGCCTGTAATCCCAGAGGCAGGAGGATCACTGTGAGTTCGAGACTACCCTGGGCTCCATAGTTCCAGGTCAGTCTCAACTACATAGTGAAACCCTGTCTCGAAAAAAGAAAAGAAAAAGAAAAGAAAAAGAAAAGAGTAATTCTCTGTGTTAAAGAGCACAGTGACTTTTCCCAAGATGATTATAATGTGCAGCATTTCGTAGACTGGAGGAACTCACAGGAATAGAATATTCTGCAGATTATCCCAGGCAAGCCAAGCATGTGATGTTAAGAGTTACTCAGTGTGCACTAATGGGTGCCTGTTTTTATCTAATGTGCACATCATAGATACCTTTCCATGTCAATAAGTAGTCACATCCTTTTTATTGACTGCTTAGTCCATTTTGGTTGACTTATAAGTTTTGCAATAATTGCCTTATTTAGTGCTTTATCTAATTTTTAATTGTTTTAAACAATGCTTTAATGGATATTCTCACTTTTTTTTTTGGTACTGGAAAATGAACCCAGGGCCTTCATATTGAGCTACATCCCCAGACCCCTTTTATTTTTAATTTGGGACAAGATGGGAGTCTCTCACAATGCTTGGATTACAGATATGCAGTACTAAGCTTGGCTGGATTTCCTCACTTTTTAATTTATGTAGTTGTCTCCTAGGGATGAATTCCCAGATGTAGGATTATTTATGTAAAAGGGCATACACATTTTTTTGTAGTATTGGAGATTGGACACTGGTGCACTCTACCACTTGGCTACACGCCTAGGACATTTTATTGATGTATATTTATTTTGAGATGGGGTCTTGCTAATTTGCCCAGATAGGACTCAGACTCCTGATCCTCCTGCCTCAGTTTCCCACGTAGCTAGCATTACAGGTGCATGCCCTGTGCCCTGCTAAAGGGCACACACACTTCAGTACCAAATCATTAAGTTCTTTGCTAGAAAAGTTGCTAGGCTGGAGCATCTGTTATTTCCTCACATACTCAGCAATATTGGATTTTTTTGTGTCAATATTTAAAAATCTTGCCTCAGAATTAATTCTATGAGTATATTGAAGGGAGACAGATTTACACCAACCAAAATCCTAGTGGCCTAAGGGTCCAATATATAAACCAACATACTGGTTCATCAATTTCTGTAGAAAAGTAGAAATGCCTAGTGGGTCACCCGCTTTGTGTTAGCTGGTCAGCCCTTCTGTCTGTAATAAAGGTTTAGGAGAAAGCAAGTTTAAATAGAATAGAATAAATAAAGAGTTTCTTGGAAGGTATAAGGTCCCACAGCAAAAGGAAATGTGGGATTAAAAGATGATATTAATGACATTTTAGTGCCGGATCTGATATTTGTGTTCACAAGTCCAGATAATCTTAGCTCTGGTTATGGCTGGTGGTGCTTTATCAAAAGGTTGTCTTTGGGACTTTTTATGACTGTGTAGATCTCTGTATTTCCCCCTTTCAGTCTTTTTTTTAGACTGTATATCATTTTTGTTCATAGATTTTACTTTTCTTTGACACATAGTAATTGTGCGTATCTATGGGGCGGTAACCAGGATATTTATCACTTCCGACAGGAATCATTTCTTTGCGTTGGGAACATTGAATAGAAATTCCCTCTACCAGTTTTGTGAAATAGTCAATTAGTTGTTGTCAATCATATTTATCCTCCTGTACTCTACAGAACATTAGAAGTTAATCATTCTGTCCCGCTGCGCCCATGTACCTGTGTATCGGTTTTGATTCAAATTTGATTGTAGTTAGTTTCTTTTTTTTTTTTTGAGACAGGGTCTCACTACGTAGTTGAGACTGACCTGGAACTCACTATGTAGCCCATGCTGGTCTTGAACACACAGCAATCCTCCTGCCTCAGCCTCCTGAGTGCTGGGATTACAGGTGTGCGCCACCACACCTGGCTGATTGTAGTTCGTTTCATAAGAGGTTTACTTTTTATAGCTTCACATGTGCTTTCCTGAGACCAAACTCTCAGCACTTCATTTGGGGTAGGCCTTGAATCTCTCCAAGTAGTTACAAATTGTACTCAGTTTGTGTCATTTCTGGGAGTGGTGTGACAGCCCCTATAACACAATTCTTCCTAATCTCCCTCTGCAAGCAGATCCAGATGGAGGAACCTTGCTTTTGTTCCTGAGATTCATCTATAGCACTTAGATCTATTTTGTAAACGAAGACACTGAAGCCTAGGGAGCCAAAGTAATCTTCTCAGGACCATAGCTCGCAAGTGGTGGATTTGATTTTCACACCTGGGTCTGCCTGGCCCTCAAACTCATCACTGTCCTTCTGTACCATTCTTCTTTCTATCTGAAGGGTCTCTTCTATTTTCTGCCTACAGAGTGACTGCACAGAAATTGAGAACCACTTATGTTAGGAGTATATGTGGATACCTTACATCATCTAGCTAGATGTCAGGGTTTCCTGAGGCTATGTCCTATAGTTTTCCTGAACTACAACTGGTGAAAACAGGCAACTTACTAACCCACTAAGTATAGTCAAGTCTTAAAATCTTTGGATAAAATGGAGAAGTGTAACCTGGGGTGAAATATACCCTGAATAATTTTGAAAAATCTTCCCTTGCTGGGCATGGTGGTGCACGCCTGTAATCCCAGCACTCAGGAGGCTGAGGCAGGAGGATCGCTGTGAGTTCAAGACCAGCCCGGGCTACATAGTGAGTTCCAGGTCAGTCTCAACTACATAGTGAGACCCTGTCTCGAAAAACCAAAAAAAAAAAAAAATCCCTCAATGATTGAGAATATACTGTTCAAAAGCTATTCCCATAGTTTACTCCAAGAATTGAAGCTCTCATAGATTTTATCCATTATCAATCAGCTATTATAATTTAAATGTAAGAACTCTTTGCTTGCAGTAAAAGCTGAGGAAAAACTCATCCAAATTGAAGTTCAAGGGCTGGTGCTCAGTAGTAGAGTGCTTACCCAGCATGCACAAGTCCCTGTGTCCCATCCCCACTGCCAAAAACAAACAAACAGAGAGACAAAAACAACTTGAAGTTCAAATTCATACCTACCTGGAGCCGAATGGTATGTTGGTAGCAGTCCATCTGTCTGTCAGGAAGCATCTCACAAGAGCTAAAGTACAAATTCGTGCTGCTGTATCAAATAGGAGAGTTGGAGCAATCATTTTACTTAGGATTAGGTCTCAATCCCTTGTTCCCAAGCAGGGCTAATCCTACAGATTATTCAAGAAGAGGGAATTTTCTTTTCCTATTGAAGCTCATTGAGGGTTTTTTTTTTTTAACTTTCCTGTAGGAGATTGAACCCAGGGATCCCTGAGCTATATCCTTGGTCCTTTAAAATATTTTATTTTGAAGCATTGTCCCGCTAACTCACCCAGGCTATCCTCAAACTTGCAATCCTCCTGCCTCACCGTCTCAGGTAGCTGGGATTACAGTCATTTAGAATTCTTAGGAGGACCTTGGCCCCTAGATGTATTAAACTGGAACAAACCAGACATACCTGAGTTGCAAGCGAGGCTCTGCATTTACTTTGTGTGAATACGAGTGAATTACTTTGAGTCTCTATTGATCTATAAAATGGGGATAGAATATTCATCTCATGTGATTGCTGCCGGAGTTAAATGAACTAAAGGAACATACTTCTCACAGTGCCGAGTGGCTAGTACACGTACAATGTTTCTTATGTCTTTTCTCAGATGCACATTTTAGTAGCCCTAGAATTAGTTTACTTAAAGATGAATGATATAATATCTCATGCATGCAGGTAATGGATTGTGCAGTGATGACAAAAAAGTCACAACATTCATTATATAACCACCAATAAGTGGCTGTCATAATTAGGAGGATGGCAAAAGAAGAGTGGTATCTGTCTCTGGTGGTTCTCTGTCTTTATTTTCTTCTCTTGAGTTGAAAAATCGTGTGTGTGTGTGTGTGTGTGTGTGTGTGCGGAATTGAGCTGGTTCTCTGTCTTTATTTTCTTCTCTTGAGTTGAAAAATCGTGTGTGTGTGTGTGTGTGTGTGTGTGTGCTGGGAATTGAGCCCAGGGCCTTCCCACTGAACTACATCCCTAGCCACTTTTTTTTTTATTTTGAAGCAGGGGCTTGCTAAGTTGCCAAGTTGCTCTGGCTGGACTTAAACTTGGGATCCTCCTGCTTCAGCCTCCCCAAGTGCTAGGGTTGCAGGTATGCCCACTATGCCTGGCTGAAAATCCGTGACAAAAAAAAAAAAAAAAAAAAAAAAACAAAAAAAAAAAAAAAAAAACCCACTGATAAGAGTGCAGGTCAACAGGTTTTTTTTTTTTTTCCTCTTTGCTGCTTTTCACTCCCAGTACAGAAAAGCTCAACAGATCCTGTGATGTGGATTGAGTCTGGGCCCTTGACTGAGTGAACTGCACATAGCAACCTCCTTTAGCTTAGGGAAGCCTTCCTGCTCCTCTGCTACACAGAGCATGCGTGCAGCAGGGTGGGAGGAG